CGCTGATCCGGCTCGAAGGACCATGTTAATTTTGATGGATTATGAATAAGAGCAGCGGACAATCGTTTTGTAGTTTTATTAAACAAATAACAAGTGGGTTCTAGAGCGAGTATGATATTATGACCGTTAGGTCCAGAGATTGAATATAAAGACTATGTTAACCGCTTGAAGAGTGCTTGAAGACTCAATGATGAATAGTGAATGAATGTTCCCTGTATTGGAAGGTGGTGGTGGCCCTGGCTCCCACCCTTACGGGTGGAGAGGGGTGAAACAGGTCCCCGCCAGAGGCACTAACAATTACTGAGGCTAAAATTGTGAGATAGAAAAAAATTGGATGTGATGAAAAACTGCAAAGCTAACAAAATTACATGAGTTTAATATTTTATGTCCATTCGAGTTATTGGTTAATTTTTAAAAGTAAAGTGCGATCAATCCTGTGGCGCTGTGCAAATAATGGTCTAAATCAAAGGAATAAAATGGACGTCCCACATGACCCACAATATCGCTAATTTGTTCAATAAGATTTTACAGTTGAAACATATAGGTGCTAGGTTTGAAAATACTCTTTCAATATGGTCGCTGCCAGAACAAAGAATTACCTAATGTTAAATTATGCCACACTTTCTCAACGATTCAAACAAAGAATTTACATTATGTTAAATTATGCCACACTTTATCAACGATTCAAACACACAATTTATGTTAAATAATGCCTTGAAGCGACTGGTTACTTAAAACCATTAGCTTTGAGCGTTTATATCGTGTACTGTCTCCAGCTTATCCCAAACAAACACATGATAAATAAACATAAAATGCATCCGGGGTTGCGAGAAAAGCTTCTCGGTGATGTAATTTTCCACGTTGCTAGAAAATATGTCTCGGTGATATAGTTTTCGACGTTGCGAGAAGAATTTCTAGATGATGTGAATTTTTTAATCCCCCCGTACCTCAGTTCACGATATTTTCTACCGTACTTTCTCGGTCTTTTCCCAGAATGGGACAACGTAATATTGATTTAACTGCTTTAAATGAACTATTAGCAATCTTGTGTGAGAAATTAAGAAATGTTATAATGTAACACTTTAGTATAACCATCCAGAAACCTTATTCATAATTTGGTGAACAAAGGATGAGCCCTGATTAAGTGAATCTCAAAAAATCTCCTAGTAATCTGAACAATCTCACGACTAGTAAATTGTGTTAGAACCAGTTAACGATTAAAATCCTAACATGAACTGTAAATTTACAAACAATAAAACAAATTTACACCACGTGTTAGCGTCGGTCGAAAATTCCCATATTTCCGCTTCGAAAAACCGCAAGAATTAGCTACGCGTGTTGGAGAAACTGTGGCGTCGTCGTCGTTACGAATAATTTTCGTTAAACAAAGGCTCTGCCGTTTTTATTAACTACTAAACCAAAAGTGACGTCTCTCGCCCCTCCTGTCATCAAATCTACTTCTACCAACCCTCTCAACAGAAAATTCCCTAGGAGAGCTACCGACTACTCAACAAGAACTAAACGTGCACATGGTTGCCTATGTTTAACGATTTTCTTGATTGTATTTTGTTTTCAGATCCAAATTATTCAAATGCAATTTCGCGCCGCTGTTTTTTTTTTCAGCGCGAAATTTTAATTCAAACCTGGTCACCACAAGTGATTTCTTCTTTTTTTGTAAAAATAAATTCGGAATGTATCAAAAGTTATTCGTAAACAAAATATAGCTACGTAATCTATTTTATAATCACAATATTTGTACGAACTTGAAAAGTGTGTGCCTTCGATTTTCTGTTGATTTCAGAAGGAATAATATTGTTTGTAAAACCAACCGAGTTTTTTTATGACTTCCACACATTTGGAAATGTCAATATTTGGAACAATAATGTGTAACCATAAATCACAATGGGTACTAGAAAGACTTTAAACTTTCCTCTTGAAGGTCTTATCATAAAATCCATAGAAATTATATTAGGAATGTTCATATTAATTAATGTCATTTCACATATTTCATGTTACTTGAGGGTTGCAAAAACTAAAAAAAATCTTTAGTTAAAAAACGGTAAAAGAATAAATCACAAATGGAAAAACCAACTACTGAAACCGTAGTGTTACATATTGCGCAGAGTATAAAATTCTCTGGCACAAATTGGACGAAATTTGGGAATTTTGACAAAATAGCCACCAAAAACAGTTCTCATACATATGAAAAACATCAGCAAACATTTGAGGAGAATAAAGAAACGAGCTTTCAACTTTTTAAAATCATGATGGAGTGTGCAAATAATGACACAATTTTTATTGCTCATATTTTATTTGCAAATGAACGTAATAGTATTAAGTCAGCAGACAAAATTAGGTATCCGTTCTGGATTACCGATAGCTAACATTTTTTTAATCTAAATTTATTGGAAGAAATGATTGGATCAGTAGTGAAGGAAACCTCCGATGAAAAAACTGGTACCAATGTGATAATGACTGTCCTGCGCGTTTTAGAATATTTACACACTGTGCTTCCAAATCAGTCGATAGGTCGTGGTAAGATAATTCGTTAGCCTGCAAGGTCACCAGATTTGGCTCCAAATTATTTCTTTTGTTAAGAATATATATTTGCATGACCTGCTGTGCCCGGATAGAACCTACAGAGATTTAAAAAAGTTGAAAGCTGCTATAATTCAAAGATCAAATCAGTTAACGTACCAAAAATTAGCCCAAACAAGGAGAAATTTCGATGGTAGATGGGTTTTGTTCGGAGATCAGTTCGAACACCTGATTTAATGTTTATTTTTGGTATTTTTGATAAATCTTCCTAGTTTTATCTGATTCTAATAAAATTAACTGAATCATTTGGTTATGTAGTTAGTAATAACAAGCCTAAAATAATTTTGTGTAATTAAATTAAGAATGACTTCAATTTAAAATAATGTCGTTTATTTAAATTTAGGTGTAAATTTCTTATAGCTATACTTATAAAAAACGAGTCATTAATAAGTAATATACATATCTACTTAAAAAGGAGAATCAAGAGATTATATCAGATACTAAAAACTGCGTCCATAGTTATGAGAAAGGAAGAATGTCAAGGCTACAGCTGCATGCCGTACAAATTACCAGTACTTATTTATTAGTAACACAATTGTTAATTCCAAATCGATTGGAATTTTCAACAAATTAAGGCTATAGTGTTCAAAGGTAATAGAATTTTGGGGAATTTGTTTCCGAAAAGCTATTATATTCTTGTAATTTCACTCTATTAGGGGGTTACAAATGCTAATTATTAATCATACAGTGTTTCAATAAATACTTTTCAAGTCCGAACGAAGCGTTGAAATCTCCCACAAAAAAAATATTTCTGGATTTAGATTAACAAATTTTTATCATGATTTTTTTTACATTAAATTTTTGGCTACAAGCGTTGGAAAAATATATAGTTAGATCACTTAATCGTATATTAATTTTGACGTAAAGATGACAAAACACAATTATACCCATTATTATTTTGAGCACTGATTATTATCCAAAAACATGTGCCATTTCTTGATTTATCGTAGAAATTATTAACATTAAAACAACAGCCACTAAAGTAAATTTACGAGCAAAAAGTCATGTCAACGATAAATCATTTTCGAGTAATCACCTTTAAAAAATTTCCAATCACGACGTAGTGTCAATTTTGCAGCAGTGAACGTGAATTGAGAATATCACTTTAATTAATATAAATATTTTTAATTATGTTTATTTTTAACACAACCAACTACAAATAAAAAAATATTTAATTATCCTGAAATTCCACAAACAGGACGATATCATTAGTGTTATATATTACACTCATCAACTTATCTACTTATCTTCAGCAAAAAGCTGATACGTCCTTTTTTATACCTATAAACTTTAACTAAAATAATATACCTACGTACAAATCAGATTTGTACTGCTTGAGAAGTGCGATAAGTGCTTGCAGATTTTTTAATTTAATTAGCATGCTTGTTAAAATTGTCAGTTGATGGAAACTTTAAACACATATTTACAAAACTTGCAACAATAACCTTGGCCTTAGATCAGGTCGGTAACCTTTCTGTAGAATAAAATTTCTTATTTCATGTTTCCAGGAACACAAATATAAATTAGGAAATGTGTAGGTATGCAGCAGACAGCAGGTATACAAGTTGCAAAGTCATAAGAGTCGTACTGACGTCATAAAAACCTTAAACAAACAAAAAAAGGTTCCATATCAAGATCAACTAAAAATTTGTTTTCAAAAATTGTGCAAAAGCGAACTAATCCAAAAATATATGGAAGTTATGAAATGGGTTTTTCTTATCAAAATTTCTTCTAAATTTAACTAGCGCGTCTATCTTTCCCATACCACAATGGATCTTGGACTTATCCACACGGGAAGCGGTTAAAAAATTATCAGGAATAATTAATGAAAGTCATCAACCGCTAATATTTGAGTATACAATTCTTAAGTAGCCAGATTGCACAAGTGGATTATATTTTTCTGGTAAAATCTTATTCACTAAAACAGTAGTGGATGCGTACACTAATATTTAGCGGAAGTATAATAACGTAATACACATGAATAATATATTAGCTTGAATTTTTAGAATTTTTTGGCAAAATTATAAATCTAACTATTTATATTAAGTCCGTTGACTGCACTTCACAACAAAAGAACTTTAAATCTGCCATAAATAATTGTTAAATATATGTCACACTTGTATTGCTTTTCACAGATTGAAGGCTTTGAAAAACATATTTATTTTATGAGAAATGCTTTGGTAACTAGGATGAATTCAAAATTTACGAATTCACCGGAAAAAATTCCAAATCAAAAGCTGTAAATCAAAATTTATCATCAAATAACCGAAAATGTGGCGAATGCTAACCACAGTCAAACATTTTAAGAAATCGGTTGGATAATTAGTCAGCATGGGAAGTTGTCTGGAATTTACACTCACTAACTCGAAATGTAGTACTCCTAATTGTTTTTCTAATTATTACACACTTTAGGATTTCGTTGAACTATCCCTAGTTTTAAATCTACCGCCAAACGACTGACAACTTCAACCGCGCCCTCCCGCGTCCAGCCGGAAAATAATGTACAGCATTGCCAAATGGATTTCAAATTTGACAACTCGTCAACTCAATAATGTTTACGTCGACGTGAAATAGTAAACATCTTCATTCAAATCGTGTGTAGTAAAATGTTAAACATATTTGAGAAACTTAGGCGTTTTGATGCATATCCCAAAACCCTAGAAGATGTCCGGATTAAAACTTACGGAGGCGCTGTTGGTAAGAATTTATTTTTTGTAAATTTTGTACAAAATGTGAGCGGTATTTCTAGTTACAGTGATAAGCCTCACAATAATGACCTTGCTATTTTGGACTGAATTAGTGGACTATTTAACACCAAACGTGTCAGAAGAGCTATTTGTCGACACTTCCAGGAGTCCTTCAATACAAATAAATTTAGATCTTGTTGTACCTACAATATCTTGTGACTGTAAATATATTTTTTTGGTCGCAATTATGGGGAACACGTTTTTTTTAGTTTTAGCTTTAGACGCTATGGACTCGTCGGGTGAACAGCATTTGCAAATTGACTACAACATTTATAAGAGGAGGCTAGATGTGCATGGACAACCAATAGCCGAACCAAAGAAGGAAGATATAACAATCAAAAGTAAAAACAACACAGAAGTAAGTTTGTTTAAGTGACGCAAACGCTTTTGTTAAGCAATAATTACTTACAGGTTGAAACAACTAATAAAACTGAGTGTGGAAGTTGTTATGGTGCTTCTTTTGATCCACATAGGTAAAATAAAATGTAGATTGTAGTAGCAAAGCTTGAAATAACGTGATTGTAGGTGCTGTAACACATGTGAAGATGTGAGAGAAGCTTATAGAGAAAGAAGGTGGGCGTTTCCAGATAATCCAGAAAACATCACACAATGTAAAGAAGAAAAGTTTAGTGAGAAACTGAAAACAGCGTTTTCACAAGGATGCCAGATTTATGGCTCTCTTATTGTTAATAGGGTCAGTGGTAGCTTCCATGTTGCTCCAGGAAAAAGTTTTAGCATAAATCATGTGCATGTGCATGATGTTCAACCATTTTCATCTACAGAATTTAATACCACTCATAAAATAAGGCATTTATCTTTCGGTGCAAGCATAGACAGTGATTCCCACAATCCCCTCAAGGATACTGTAGGACTTGCAGAGGAAGGTAAGAACAATTTTAATTTCCTTCAAGGATTTATTGTAAAACAACTAGCTTAATAAATATACATAACTATCAGCTTTCAAGAATTTAAGTAACATCTCTTGAAATATCATTGCTGCTTCACTAATGCTAACATCTCAAGCCAGATCCAATTGCCAGGAATGTCCCAAACGAGCCCCCGCCTTGCAGCATCACTTTACCGACTGTGTTTACTAACTCTTTGCCTCTTAAGCCGCCCCTGCAGTGGAAAAACATGCGATTTGCACCTTGAAATGTTTAGTTTTAATTACCGTAACGCTGAGAATCCACCAAATAACGCCCCACTGGCCATTCCCACACAGAATCCGAGAAAGAATCCCATCTTCATTTTATCAAAACAAGTCGGTCCTTGTTGATAAACCCCTCCCGGAACGGCCGGCATTTTACCTACGCAGAAGAACGTATTATGCATTCAAAAGCTGATAAAACCTACCTGTCTTATCTTATTGGCGCGTTTAAGTGTTGAACGATACTAATGAATTTTGTGTCTGCCTTTAACATTCAATTTTTTGTCTTTCACGTCGACCAAATTTTGCGTGACTGTTGAACTGTCACTCACAAAAAGGTTATGGAAGTGGTTACGGTTACGGTGGAATTTTCCACGAAGAGCGCGTGATTTAAAATGTGTTTTATTCCAGGGGCGACCATGTTCCAATACCATATAAAAATTGTACCAACAGCATACGTAAAGAGGGATGGACAGGTGATAAACGCGAATCAGTTTTCCGTTACTAAACATAGGAAAGTAGTTTCGATAATGAGTGGGGAGTCCGGTATGCCAGGAATATTTTTCCAGTATGAACTTTCACCCTTGATGGTGAAGTACACAGAGCAGAGTAGGTCGTTTGGTCACTTTGCGACTAATGTTTGTGCAATTATTGGTGGGGTGTATACTGTAGCTGGACTAATTGATACGTTATTATACCATTCAGTGAAGCTTATACAAAAGAAAATAGAACTGGGTAAATTAAATTAATTTATTGTTATTGGTAAAGTTGTTCTGTTATACATTCCTCCAGTGAGAACATATTATCATTTATATACACGAAAAATTGGTTAACAGTTTGGAATACAGTGTACATTGATTTTAAAATAAATAACAGTACAAAAGTGTTTTGTCTTATTTACATGGTCTTTAAAAAAGCGTTAAAGGCGTGAATTGAAGAGCCTGCAACTTCAGTGGCAAAATGAGCGTCAGATCCTGAGACTAGAGTAATTAAAGAGATATAGTTAGGTTTCTTCGTGTCAAATTGTAGTTTCCCTAATTTTTGTAAAAATTGGTGTCTTTGTTTTATCCTAAATTCCCTACATGTTAGAACTTGGGGCATTTTAACTATCGTTTCTAGCGGTATATTCATTTCTTTATGAATATATTCAAACGTTTTTAGTATTCTATGCTGATCTAGAAAAAAGTCATATATAATATAAATTTGCACAACAAACAAACATACTGTTCATAAATAATTTAGGTGTCTGCAACACAATTTGTTTCATTTCTTCAGGTGTGAAACCCATTTCTTCTTTTATAACAAACATATTCAATTTTATGTGTTCAATATCATAAGTTATAAGTCTAGGTTTCCTGGCAGTTAAACTTCGAACTTCATTACCAGTTAGGGAGAAGCTTTTTTGAAAAAATCCTAGTTTTTTGTCAATGTCTTGAGTGCTGCAACAATTTTTATTAAAAAAAATATACGCTGTGCCCACTATTGAGGTACCTAAAACTCAACCACATGGGGTTATCTTGAACAATTCTTAAAATCATTTCATCAGTAAATTTCTTGTATTTTAGGTAATTAATCCTCACTTGTAAATTTTCCAAATCTTCCTTAAAAATAAACGGATTTTTTTCAATCAACTTCCCTAAATCTTCTGTCTGTAATCCTAAATCAGTCAAAAATATAATATAACTCTTGATGTCTTTATCAAAATCTAATTGCAAAATATATGGAGGAACTTCTTGGTTCTTTTCCCACTTATACAGCCTCACACCTAGCTTTAAAAGTTGTTGCAAAGTGTGTGATTTGTTTACATAAGCTGCAAAATTAAAGCTCGGTCTTAAGTAAGGAGCAACATATGAAATGTCTTCTTTGCATGGCTGAAGCACCGACGATTCTGGCGGATTTTCATTTAAATTATCACTATTTGAAACTAGTCGGGGGTCGATTATTTCAGAACTGTTTTCCACAGTAGATATTTTATTTTCAATTTTTTGAACACTTGAAAGTGGTCGAAAGGGTCCCAGAGTTCGTACCGTGCATGTTTTTATTAGTCTTCGTAACATTTTTAATAAAACACGACTTAAAAAAGATCAAACGCATTTATTATTAAATATATAAACTGCGCGCAAACATTCCGCAACATAACATCACCATAACCTCTACGACATAACCTAATTGTGTACTGTCAAACTGTCAAAATCAACAACGCAACGTAACGTACGTATGTAATGTTGCAATATTAATTACGTTGTGACAATAACGTGTAATTCAGTGGCGGCTCTACAAGTGAGATGGTGGGGTGTGGCATGACATGAGCATTGATAAAATATTGTCAACGGTTGTTAAATATATTCAACATTATACCTCAATATTTTAGTATTTTAATTCATTGCTGCCTCAACTTATCACAATTAAAAAAAAACGAACATTATTTAAAAAAGAAATAAATAAAATAAGTGATAAGTGCAGTCAAATTACAACCAAAAATTATTTCTAGTTATATATGTAAGATCTTTTTTTTTTTTGTTTTTAATCGTATATCTGTATGTACTGTAGTGGGAACAGCTATACATATTCCGTGTTTATTGCTTCATTGGGTATTTAACTTGTCCCACCCGTTGTTTAAAATCTCTTTACCTAGCGTCAACAGTATAGGACCGTCTTCCTTATTTCACTTTATATTTGGATGGCACATATGTATGTACTTAATCAATGGATGGATCCTAGAAATTTTCATTACGGTCCATTTTGGCAAACTGTTTAATATTCTTGCGCTATTAAATATGCAGATTATGTATGTTGAGGGTTGGTTACAAAATCCTGTTGTATAGTTATGGCTTCCACTACGAATGTCAGACCCATAAAAATGGAATACCTCTGGACATGGTATAGGACTGTACTGAATACCGAATGACTACTAATGTTTGTGATTTTTTTTTGTCAGGTTGGAATGAAATTTAAAATATTATGATGGCATACATGATGTCAAATTGAATTGACTACCAAATCAGAAGCTGCCAGCAGCACTAGTGTTCTACTATGAGTGTTCTAGGCACGTTCATATTAAAATTGATAACTGCGAACTGACATGCTAACATTGCCACCAATAATACAGAATTGCCAACTCAAAAATTTGCTTCAATCATTAACAGTCATCCGGTATATAGGTTTGACTATATAGGTATTTTAAGACTGATCGTAATTAATAACTACACACGGAATAACTGTTCACGTGTATATACATATATTTAGAAGATTGGTTATACAAAAAAAAAAAGATATACAGTAGCGGTCATTTCTACGGAACCACTCGATAAAAAGTCAAGTTGATAGCCCTGTCATCTAGTACTTTACGCCGAACGCGGTTGGTAGCGGTAGTTGATATGGCAATCGAAACTAGCACAACACGAATGTTTCGGTTGCCCTCAAATATGCCGCACTGTATCCCGTGCAGACTGTATGTTCTGTTCATCTATTTATTAAAATAAAATATCTACATTAACAATGGGGCCATCTAACCTGTCAAATTTTTGACACATATGTTTTCCCCCAGAAACCCGTCAAGGTCACTTACACCAAACAAATTTTGAAAATTTACACTAGGGAGTGGTTCTATAGAAAAGATCGCGACTTTATATAGATATCCAGTGGCGAACAAATCATTTAGGACATAATTTTTCTGTCATTTAAAAAATTTGAATGTAGTCTAGACTTTATTGTCACTTTGACGTTTGAAGTTTAAAGTATTTGTCACGTGCATGCAGTATTAGCATGCTCGCAGTGTCAAAAATGACAAAACTAAAAATATGTATATATAAAGTTACAATACTTAAAAAGGTGTTTCATACTTTGTGACACTGGAATGACATTGATCTCCAAGATTTTCTGGCCGCGACTGTATATGTTATGTAAGTACTTGACCTGTCCTGACCTGACATAGGGTATAGTCTCATCTCAATCCAAGTTCTGCAAAATACAAAAAAAAATCATATAATAATATTAATAATAATGATGATAACAATATTCAAAATTTTGTCATTATGAAACTTTAAGGTAATATCTGTGCTTTTTCTTTAAAGTGGTATTATATGAAATTAAAAATTAGTCTAAAGTAACTTAGATAGAACATCCTTCGCCCCTGAAGTACAGTCGAACAATTTAAACTTTTTCGAAAAATATAAAATTTGATTTGAGGGTTCCGGAGGAGCCTAGAAGCGGTGACGTAGGGTTTCGAGAAGGACCGCGTGCTGTTTAAATAGAGTCCACCTTTGGAGAAGGGATTATTGAGCTAGTGGAGTCAAGAGCGTCTAGTGAAATTCGCCGGAATAATTTTTGTACATAATCGCTGCAATAGTTAGTCGTGTAAATTCGAGTTATTAAGGAATAAATTGTTGAGTTTTACCTACGCCAATTTTATTCGCCCGTACAACGTAACAATATGTTAGTTTCTAAAATTTAAATGATAATAATTACTACCCAAAATGTTGAGGCCATATCATTAAATTGGTGGTGAGGTTGATAGGGTTCTTTACCTGTTGGGATCAATAAATTATTATTAAGACCCACCACTGACCCGGAAATGACCGGCATTCAGGCAAGACTTCTATCATTACGGGTACTAAGACCAAGTAATGATATGCATTGATTAGATTAACAGAACAACTTTCGAGATTCTAGAATTACAGCATACAAATTAGTCTGCTATTATTCTCTAATCTCACCCCATCCCCAAAAGTCCAGCGTAACTACCGACCATTTATCCGCGCATCACATGAAAAGTGACCTACACTACTCTGACCTACTGGTGCTAATCTAATCTGACTGACATGATCAGACTGTTCAAGAAACTTACGAACAATATTATTAAGACCCACCACTGACCCGGAAATGACCGGCATTCAGGCAAGACTTCTATCATTACGGGTACTAAGACCAAGTAATGATATGAATTGATTAGATTAACAGAACAACTTTCGAGATTCTAGAATTACAGCATACAAATTAGTCTGCTATTATTCTCTAATCTCACCCCATCCCCAAAAGTCCAGCGTAACTACCGACCATTTATCCGCGCATCACATGAAAAGTGACCTACACTACTCTGACCTACTGGTGCTAATCTAATCTGACTGACATGATCAGACTGTTCAAGAAACTTACGAACAATATGACATGTTCCTAACAAAACAGCTTTTTGAATTTTGACAATTATTGAATCATTCAAATGCAAAGACTTTAAATTCTCAACTAAGCTATTTGGAACTACACCTACATTAGAGATAACTAGGGGTAGAATTGAAATTTTTTTAAGATTCAACATGGATTTCATTTCTATCGATAATTGTAGATATTTTGAAATCTTGGTGTCGTATGTTTGAATAATATTGTTTGTGTTAGGAATAGCAATGTCAATAAGAATGGCTTCGTTCGTGTGTTTTTTGATAAGTATGATGTCTGGTCTGTTAGCTGTAATGTTTAAGTCTGTAAGTATTGTGCGATCCCAGTATAATTTGTATTTGTTATTTTCAAGGAATGGAGACGGAATATAAGTGTAATAGGGTGTCGTATCTTCGATTAAGTTCATAAGTGTTGCTAATTCTTTGTGAATGATTTTGGCTGCGTTGTCGTGTCTAGCTTTGTAATCAGTTTGTGCTAGGATGCTGCAAGAAGAGATTATGTGCTGGATCGTTTCAGGTTTTGCTTTGCATAGGCGACAGCAGTCGTTTTTTATGTTCGGATCTTTGATGATGTATTTTCTATAATTCTTGGTATTGATTACTTGGTCTTGAATAGCAAACACAAATCCTTCTGTTTCGGCATACAAACTTGATTTTTTTAACCAAATCAATGACATCTTCTTATTGACATGATTTTCTTCTAAGTCTTTGTAGAATTTTCCATGTAGTTGTTTTTGTTTTAGCCCACTTATTATTTTATCTATTGTGTGGGGGGTGTGGATTTCTTCGGTGTTCGACAGATTTAAGGGTGTGTGGTTCAAATCTGCTCTTGTGATGGTGCGAAACATTTCATTTCTTTCCGCTCGTTTCAAGAAATACTTCTTCAAATCTGAAATTTGTATCTGATATAAGTTTTCTAAGTTCTGGAAACCCCTTCCTCCATTCTGTCTTGGTAATGAGAATCTTTCAATCGACGATTTTGGGTGATGCCTTCTATACTGTGTGAAGATTTTCCTTGTTGCGATGTTTAAATTTTCAAGATCAGTTTTGGACCATTTAATGACTCCAAAAGAATATGTTAGCAGTGGAACGCAGAATGTATTTACTGCTTTCATTAAATTTTTTCCATTTAACTGTGTCTTCAATATTAATTTTAATCTTGCTACGTATTGATCTTTCAACTGTGTTTTCGTTTTGGTATGATTGATGTGGGAGGATTGACAGAAACCCAGATATTTGTATGTATCGTTTCGTTCTTGGGCTTCAATTATTTCCTTATTCTGTGTTATATGTGGTACTTGGTGAAACACGCCTTTTCTGATTGCTTGGGTCTTACATTTCTCAATACCAAAGGACATACCAATATCACCGGAAAATTGTTCAGTCAGATTTAATAGGTTTGTTAACTGATTTTGTGTACTTGCATATATTTTTATGTCATCCATATACAGCAAGTGACTTATTCTGTTTTCTCTTTGTTTGTTAATTCTTATATTGAACCCATAATTGCAGCTGTTCAGGATATCGGAGAGGGGATTTATTGCTAAGCAGAACCATAACGGGCTAAGAGAATCGCCTTGAAAAATTCCTCTTCGGATCATTATTGGGTCTGACTGAATTGTTTGTTCATTTAAGGTTATTTGGAGTGTGGTCTTCCAAAATTCCATGGAACATTTGAGAAAAGTGCAGATTTTAGTATCAATCTTGTATAATTCCAGAATTTTGCATAGCCAGGAATGAGGGACAGAATCGTAAGCTTTCTTATAATCAATAAAAGCAGTATATATGTTTCGGTTTTCTTTTCTAGCTTGTTCACAGATGATGGAATCTATGATTAATTGCTCTTTGCAGCCAAAGGATCCTTTAATACATCCTTTCTGTTCTTCATTAATGATGTCAGAGTTAAAACAGTGTTGATAAATTTTTTGTGTAATGCATGAGGTTAATATTTTATAGATTGTCGGTAAACATGTGATAGGTCTGTATTTTGATGGATTTTTTGTGTCGTTATCTTTAGGTTTTAGGTGTGTTACACCATGACATAAGAATGTTGGAAAGGAGGATGGGTCAAGAAGGAACTGATTTAAGTGATGTAGTAAATGAATATGTACACAATTTAATTTTTTTATCCAAAAATTATGAATTTTGTCTGGTCCTGGTGATTTCCAGTTGTGTGTCTTATTGATAGTATTTATTAATTCGGCAAGTGTTATCTGATGATCATTCATTGGTGTAATTGTGGATAGTTTATTATGTATATGAGGAATCCATTTGGCAGATTGGTTAAATTCAAATTCTTGAGACCAAAGTTTTGACCAAAATGTTGTTACATCTTGTGAACTTGGTAGTTCACCGGATAATTGAGTTTTGCTTGAATTAGTTAAATGTTGATAGAATAGTTTTTCGTTGTTTAAAAATTTTGTGTTATGAATTTTTCTGAGATGTGATTGTTTGTATCTTTTAAGTCTTTTGCTATATAAGGAAAGCTTTTGTAATAGTGTATCTTTAATTTCGGATAGTGTTGTGTTGTACTCATTGTAATCAGTTTGATGAAAATTATTGTTGGTCAGTATCGAATGCATACATGTCATGATGTGTGGTGTTTTAACTCCTCTAAGGTACTGTGTTATTTGACCCAGTTGTTTTCTAATGTTATTAATTTTATAATTTAACCGTGTTTCCCAATGAGGGGTGGAGGGTATACGATTGTTGTTTGTATTTATTATGTTATCTTTACATGTGTTAATTTGAATACAAGTTAAAGCTGCACAGTAGATAATTGTATGAAGTTTTTCAAAAGAGATCGAGTTTGTGAGATATTTTGGTAAAATGAAGGAGTTCATTATTTCTACAATTGCCAGAAACTTTTTAGAATAACACTGGCGGGGAAGTGATTGTCTATCATTTGGTTTTAATTTAGAACATGTTTCGAAAGTTAATTTAAATTGGTCTTCAATTTCATTTTGGAAATTAATGTGAAATTTAAAATTTTTGTTTACAGTTTTGATTAATGTGTCTTCTGTGTTGTAGTACGTGTTTTGTAGATTATCTGTGATGTTAATTTGGTTTTGGATTGTTCTTGATAAATTGTTAAGTGATTTGTCAGTTAATGTGTTGGTAATTTGTGTTATGGTTGTGATCTTATTTTGAGGTGTTTTGTTTAATAAATGTTTAGTAAATCTGTCAGTTCGTGTCTCTGGTGTATTTGATATACTACTGTTACTATTTTGTGGTATAATTGGGATCTTATTTTGAGATGTTGTTTTTGACAAATTGGTGACAGATGTGTCAGTCAGTAATGTATTTGGTACTGTGTTGTTGATATCTTCAGGAAGTGGATTAATGGTTTTAGAAAGTTCATTTTTTAATTGTTCTAGAGTAAGTTGAGGTATGTAGTTATTTTTAACTATTGCTCTACGTTGATCTGCTAAATTTTGAATGGTAACTGGAAAATTTGGGTACTCACGGCTGAAGGCTTCGTGTAGAGCTGTACGATAATTACTTACATCAGTTTCATTGTTTGTAATTTTATAATATAAGCGCATAATATGTAAATTCATGTCTAGAGACCATTTTTTACGCTTTTTCGGTTCTTCTCGTCTTCTAATGGTCTGAGGCTGATTTGTCTGAGAAACATTAGAGACTAATACGTTGTTAATTGTCCTTGTGGTAGTATTTCCCGAGGTGATGCCACTTGCTCCATCGACCTCTTCGGAGACTGCAGTAATAGGTGTTCGTCGGATTTCGAGTTGAACATTCTCCGTTGTAGGCGAAACAATTTGGTTTAGA